GATGAACTGAAAAAAAAAAGGTATGATCTAGAAAATACTGCGGATGAACTAGAACTAGAAAATATTACGGATGAGCTGGAAAATACTGGGGATGAGATAGAAAATAATAAGAATCTAGACAATACTGGCAGTGAGCTAGAAAATAGTTAGACATATTCAGAATAGGCTAGATAATATTTGGGGAAAGCTAAGGAATATTACAGATGACCTAGAAAACACTGATGAATCCTGGGGTGAGCAGAAAATACTGGGGATGGAAATAGAAAATATTAGGGTTGTGCTAGGGGCCTTTGAATGAGAGGCCAACACCGTAACCTCTAGGCCACGAGAGACCCCAGAGAGAAGGAACTGAGGGAAAGACAGACAAAGAAGAAAAATAAGACACACAGAAAGGAACTGAGGGAGAGAAAGACAGACAGACAAAGAAAATAAGACAGAAAGAGAAAGAATTGAGGGAAAGAAAGTCAGACAGAAGCAAACGAGGGAAAGAAAGAGACAGAGAGTCAACTGAGGGAAAGAAAGACAGTTTTAGTTTTAGTAATAGTTTTACGGCACTTGCAACACAACGTCATACAAGTGCCGAAGATTAGAGGTGTTGCAAGAGAGGAACAAACACAAAAAGAAGTTAGTTCAGTTTTAGTAAGAATTTTACAGCACTTGCAACACAATAAGGTCATATAAGTGCCGAAGATTAGAGGTGTTACAGGAGAGTAACAAACCCAAAGAGAAGGAGAGATTAAAGAAGGATGATAGATGTTTGATAGGAAAGAAGGAGCAAACCACACAAGAGCACCTGCCAACCACCCACAAGGAGAGATTAAAGAAGGATGATAGATGTTCGATAGGAAAGAAGGAGCAAACCACACAAGAGCACCTGCCAACCACCCACAAGGAGAGATTAAAGAAGGATGATAGATGTTCGATAGGAAAGAAGGAGCAAACCACACAAGAGCACCTGCCAACCACCCACAAAGACAGAGAAGCAACGGAGGGAAAGAACAAAAAAAGACGAAAGAAGTGGAGCCCTCCAACCATCCACAGAGCACTTGGCATACATCAGATGGGGACAAAAGTTACAGGTAAAACAAGAACAAAAAAACCCACAACC